CTCTCTCTCTCTCTCTCTCTCTCTCTCTCTCTCTCTCTCTCTCTCTCTCTCTCTCTCTCTCTCTCTCTCTTTTCGTCGTTGTCTTCTTTGCATCTACACGGCGCCTTGCTTCGTCGGCGCAGCTATGGCGGACCCTTCTTCGATGACGACGTTCTGCTATGGCGCGTGGAGTGGCGGGAACCAGCTCCGATACCAATGCAATCAGACTCACTTTCTTCTTCAACTCGCATGCATGCAAACAGATGGAAATGTACACTGGAGCTGTGCGCCCACACAAAGCTTGGAGATAGTTGAGAACACAGTTCAGATACGAACTTGCTTTCAACTGGCTATGGGGCCTCAGCGCCCAACATCCTTCCCTTCTCGTGTTCCCAACCAACTGTTCGCACACACTTACACTTAACTGTGGATCTCCCTGGATACTCCACACACACTCACTCTGTCTCTCACGCACATACGCACTAGTACCTATCACTAGCTATGGCAGCTATGGCCGCCGGCTATCTCTACTACAAGCAGCTATGGCTGCTCTGACTCTGCTTCTGCCCGCTTCGACTTCGGGCAATCTGCAGACCACCTTGCACAAGACGCTAGGACATGGCTCACACACAGGAATGAATGAATGGCTGGTCGCTGCCTCTTGATTTATACTTCTGTTGGACGCTGGTCTGCTCCCTTTCCCCCGGGCCCTTGGTACACACAGTCCCACATGGTACTTGCTGACTGGACAAAGTGAGACTGGGACTGGGTACCGCTGACTAAGCAAAGTTGGACTCGCCACTTGCCCACTTGCCTCTAGTCTGCTGTGAGCAACGTTCGAAAGGCCACTTCCGGACCTTCCGGAAGCCTGCGGACTTGGCCTTTCAGAATTGTGGCAGTTACGACCTTGACCTTTCAGAATTGCTACACCTACAGACTCTACACAACTATGACCCCTACTCGACAGGCCTAGGGTTCAAGACCCGATAGCTACATCGACCCATGACAGACAACAACTAAGTTCTTATACGCAGGTCACGGGTTCAAACACACAGGGGTACTGTACACGGGTGAGGTGAGGTCTAGGGATTGAGCCCTGGGATTTGCATCTGCTACTGCAGAGGTGAAAACCGTTTCAATGAGCAAGAATATGGAAATATACACTGCTTTCCAGCCATGCTATTTCCATCGATAGGATGAGCAAAATCGGAATGAATCTTGCGCTAAAACATGGAAATATACACTGCCACTTCTTCTTTTTTTTTTTTTTTTTTTTTTTTTTTTTTTTTTTTTTTGTGTGTGTGTGTGTGTGTGTGTGTGAGAGAGAGAGAGAGAGAGAGGGTACTTCCATCGATGATAGGATGAGCAAAATCGAATGAATCTACCGCTAGAACATGGAAATATACACAGTTTTTTTTGTTTTTCTTTTTTTTTCTTTTTGTTTGTGTGTGCGAAAACTTAGCGACTGCCGAGGCATTTTGCAAAGTTGGGCAGCGTCCAGTGGGGGTACACTGCAAAGATGGGATCCAACTGATGGCTGGGTTGTTTCGCAAAATGTTTTGTCATCGTCCTTCGCCGGTCCACTTGTAAGGAGTAATGTTTACTGACAGGGGCCAACAGTGTTGGAAGAGCTCGGTTGCTGCATTACCAAAGCTTGCCATGGTGCCTGAGCATGTGGCACTGCCATGCCTTGAGGAAATGCTGTCATTTTGTCCCGCAACGGAGGAGCTCAGTCGTTGTTGAAATGTCCTTGTAGGCTGTGTAGGACCCAGTTCACTATAGCCAGATTTCAACCTTCCGCCATGGCACATGGGGAAAAGTAGCTTGGTCATAACATGATGCACAGGAGGGGGAAGCAACCAGGCGGACAATATGAGCAAAACACAGCAGAAACCGAAAATTTGCAGCACTTGTTCAGTCGACCATAGATGTGTAGATCTGCCCAAACACATCAAGTGAGAGAGCAGGACTATAAGTAGCAGAAGATTGCTCATCTAGTTTAAGTTAACTCATGTCGAAATCATGTGCAGACCTCAGGTGGCGCATTGAGAAGGCAGATTCTCCACCTGTTGCCTGAATTCTTTCTCTGTCCCCTTTTGCCAGGACCCAGTCCTAAGCACAGCAATGAACCCTCCACATGAACTATTCCACAAACCACGAAACCCAGCTGCCCAACACCTGGGATCTAGCTGACAGGAAAACATTATGAAACAAAAACACCTCAAAGCTGGTTAATGAGACTGCCTCTGCACTAGGAAGTGAAGTTTTAGCATGTGACCTGTTTCACAATAGTTTCGGCTGCTGCATCTGATTTTATGACGGTTTCTCTTTCCCTTGATCAGGAATCTGTGATTGTTTGTTCTATTCAGCCAGTTGATGCGTCTGCTTCCCAGCTCCCGTGGACAGTAGGTTCTCAACCTTTGGTCGACTAGTCTATTGGTCACCGGATCACTGCTGCACCGAGTGCTAGACGTGTTTTTTTGCAGACACGTGCACTTTGCACGTGCAAAGGTGAGCTGCTGTTGACAATTGAAGTATGTCACTTGTACTTTGCACACGTTCAGTGGACCATTGTAAGCCCCCAGGCAGTCATGGACGTGTCAGTGATGCACAGAATTGCATTTGCCACTGACTCTGTGGAGCGTGTGCTGCATTAAACAATCTAGACCTGGTCACTTCTGTGACAGCAAGGATGTACTTTCATGTCACGTGGGCCCTCTGGTGATGGTCAATCTCTTTTCCGGACTCATGCGTATCCGAGTAGTCCCACAGATTCTAGAACCGTGTCTGCACTGATTCTGTCATTCTGTCATTCTAGAACACCATTGGCAATGATGTTGGGCATGTAGGGATCTGCGAAGGTGTCTTTTGTGGGATAAATTTTGGTCTCGAGGCAAGACCATCGACTTGACTTCCAACTGGATGCAACTCCATTACCTCTGTAGCCGGTTGGTTTACTGGTAATGCCTCTCAAAGGTTGTACCCAGTTTGGGCTAGATTAGATAGCAATCAACTGGTAGTAAGTACCCTGTGGATTCCGCAGTTTTTTTGCAGTCAAACCATGGAGTGAATGAGGTGGTACAGCCATACACAGCCTGTCTTGCCATGTAAGTGGGGGATGAATGTGGGGCTGGTTTTGGACACGATGGCATTGTCCAAAACCAGCCCCACTGTTCTTGCAGCCGTGAAGAACAGTGGGGCTGGTTTTGGACACGATGACATAGTTTACTTGCCATGTAAGTGGGGGATGAATGTGTGTTGATCGATTTGGTTCCTTCTTGTCTACACTTGGATGTGTGTATGCGGTGTGGAAACAACTCCTGTTCTGAAGTGATGATGCTGGGGCAATGGCATGTTATTCGATGCAATTACTGTGTAGGCTGTGTAGCATGTTTTCCATGTGCAAAATGGGATGACCTCTCGATTGCTTCAAATTAGCTTTTTGATCTCGCTTTCAATGGAGTCGTTGATCTCATTTTTCTTTTCTGCATTTTTCAGCAAAGTTGTCGAACTGATCCATCCACTCCGAACACATTTGCAACCGGTCCTTGGTTGCGGTCCTTCCTTTGTCTTCTCTGCCAGATCCTTCTCGTGAAGTGATTCCTCTTCGGGGCTTGAAGACCCTCTCCTGAGGTTGAGCGATGAAGCTGAGGAAGGGCCTTCAGGTGGCTAATTCTCCTGCCCTTGATTACCCTTGTCATGGTTGTATTCCCATTCAAATGTG